ATGCCAGTTTCCTAGTAGTTTTGTCTGCAGCGTTAGCTTTAGGCTTAATTATAGCATAGCTATGATTTAATTTAGCAGTATGGGTATACCAGGCGCTTCTTGCTATAAGAATGGGGACAAACAGTCATCTTGGTTTTGTGCTTCTGAGAGAGAAATACATACATAGGAGTCTGACAGTTTGCAATCTCATCAGTATTCCCTGTGAGTTTTAGGGTATTATGTGTTTGTAGAATACTTTCCAGAAATACATATATACTTCTATCAAGCTATCAAGCTTGATAGAATGAATGCATATATACTTCTATCAAGCTATCAAGCTCAGCCATCTATGTTTTGAACTTCACAGATAAACATGAAATTCACCCAGTAGTTTATGTTTTTGAAGCCACACATATTCAAAATTTAGCACCTTGAAAGTTCCACGGTTTTTGTGCTGAGGGCTCTTGAATGAATTCGATACCCAGATGAACCTTCTGAGACACAGCATGACACGCAGGCTTTGGGTGACCTTTTGGAAAGCGAGTTGTTCTCCAACATCTGACTTGTGCAAATGGCAAACGCTGAAGTGAGTCAATCAAACAAGCTTTCCTTTAGCCATAGATCATACATGTGGAATGTGATATGCTCAGAATTATTCATGAAGACGTTAAAAGGAGGGATTGTACATTATATGCCCTTTCTGAAACGAACTTTTGAGACAGCCAACTCCATGTTCCATAATTTTCCTATTAAATTTGGGTCCACCATTGTGACCTGTGAAATCAGTTTAGCTGCCCAAAGGCTCCAAGCACTGTTCATCACACTGAACAAATAGGTTTAGAGATTGCCACTCAAATATTTGTGTTAACTTTTAACTAACACGGACAACAAATAAGTTCTTCCTTTGGACCACTCTGTAAATGTCTAAAATAATAAGGGCCAAATGTGAGGTAGAGGCTGCATGGGCCACAGCCCAAACACGTGCCATAACCCTAACTTGCATGGTGCCCAGAGAACTTTGAACCCCCAGGAAGACTTTACATTGAGTGAGGTGAAAGGAAATTGCAACTGTTTTGTTTGTCTTCTCCTATTTTAGACTGAAAACCCATTCTAATTTCATTCCAAAGCCATTCCACTGACCTCAAGGCTGAGGCACAGAGAGGTCAAAAGACTTTCCCTGGTCAAACAGGATGCATGTGGCATAGCCAGGAATAGAGCCCATAGATAGCCCTGGTCCCATGTCAGAACTGCAAGGCCATTCTTACCGTAACAAAAGCTGTTCTGTTACAAGCAGTTTCAGTCATTTATCTGAGCTGTCATTATGGCTCAACCTTCTAAAATACTATAATTGTTGCAGAGAAAAACTCCAGGTACTTGCAATTAAAAAGCTGTGAATCTGGCAGTTGAAATCTGATTCTGCATTCCCACACTGAACTGCGGAGAAAGGCATTTTAGGTAGTAAAATCTCTTCCCAGCAGTACGATGACCTTATATTTTAGATATATTTATTAATAATATGTGTTTCTTTAGGCCATTCTGTCCGAGGATCTAAAAAGCACTAGCACTGAGCACCAGCCTGTGATATTCATAGAGTCATTGAATGGCTTGGGTTGGAAGGGACCTTATAGATCATCCCGTTCCACACCCCCTGCCATGGGCAGGGACACCACCAGGGCCTCATCCAACCTGGCCTTGAACACTTCCAGGGGTGGGGCAGGGATGTTTCTTACATATTCCTATGAAGTCGTTTAGTAATTAATTTCAATTTTATCGAAGAGGACAGGACATGAAACCTCCTAGTCAAACATTCTGAAACCTATTTACTTAAAATTAAACAACTGTATTCATAATTAAGCAACTGAGTCAAGGCAACTGAGGCTCAGTTTTCAGAGCTGCCTGTGACCTCAGCAAACAGGAAAAGACTCCAGTCAAAGGACAACTGCTAAGCATACATTTTACACAGACTGTGTATTTAAAAAGAAGACAGGATGAAGTCTAAACTTGGTTATATTCATACAAATGCAATACAACACTGTTCTGTAACCTGTAGCTGCCCCCAAGTACTACTGCCAGGCCTCTGACCACACTTTCCTGTTTATTGAAAAATATTTTCCTACCTTGGCCCCTTTTTACAACCCTGGACCATCAGGGACTGAGACAGTGAACTGCATCATCTCCCTTACACTTTCTAGCAGTAGGCCTGAAAGCCAAATGGGAACCGTTTGCAAAAAGTCTGTTTTCTCTGCTGGACCTCAGTTTGCAGACAGGTTCATCAAAGTGTCTTCCCAGCCTGGAAATAAGGACATTTGTCAAAGATCATGCAGGAAATAAGAAACAAAATAAGCAATATAATTAAATTTCTTCACTTTCAAGATCTGGACTTGAATTGCAAGACAATTTTGCCTCTAAATGTTTATTAATAAATGAGCTCATATTTGGGACTACGTGTAATACAAAGAAACGTCCTTGCTAAATGATGGCTAACAGCCCAGAAGAAAAGAAATCTATGTCCTTACTGCAGTAAACCAACATAGCTCCACTGAGTATCCCCTACGGCATAACTTTTTCATACCAGCGCCTAACGTGATGAATCTTGTTGTAGGAGTGCTTTGTGTATGTGTTAAATGTAGAAGTTTCTGGACTTTGCAAGTGTAATTGGCAATGTCTGCCGAGCCTTAGCCATAGAGCCTGGTCTCAGTATCTGTACCTTGGGAGCTATGCTATCCGATGTTTTCTTTCCCCTGCTATACATCATCTTTGAAATTCTAAATATTAAAGGAGCATTGTTGGATGGTAGGCAAGCAACTGTTATTGCCATTATTGTTAGCACTGTTAGGGGGAAAGAAGAGTTTTGGGGTTACACATATGTGGAGGAAATGCTTAAATACGAGTATTGTTACATTGTACTAGCTATTGAGAAACTTTGAAGCAAACCTGATTAGTGACTAGGATACAGGATGCTAATCAGCAAGAGACTGAAAAATTGCATCAATTTATTTAATTGCATAAATTCAGTTTGAAGGTATAATTTTGTGTGCAGGCAAAGACCCTTAAAAATCGGATTATTAATCTTAGCGTCCTCTGAGGCTGTCCAAATACAGTGTCGTTCCAGATGTTAATGGTACTGCTTCTTGTTTATACTATTTCTCAGAAGTTATGCTGTTTGAAAAAAATTACTCAGAAGGGTGGTACCAGTATTTGATGCAGAATCTATCCTCAAGGGGCAAGTAATTACATAAATGCAGGCTAGTAAACTTCATTTTATCAGGACAGCAAACCAAATAACATTCCTCCAGCCTGATGTAAATTGCAAAGGGCAAATGTTATCATAGCCTCTTGATAGAACAGACTGTATTGACTTTTATTACATTTTTTAAAGAGATATAAAATTACACAATTTTTGTATTTATTTTTAACCTTGTTCCTTTCATTTACAAATAAGAAATTTAATCCTACCAATGCGTGTGCACATATGTAGCTTATGTGAGTAATCCTTTCAAAGTAAGCAAACTACTTTTTTGGAGGAAAGTTATATACAGGAATACAAACTTGCAGATGTGCTTCTGCAGGCAGCACACTCCCAACATCCTGCTCCTGTTGTCCTTTAGCACACGAAAATTAATGGAATTACAGGAATGCAGAGCTGGGTTCCAAAAGTGCAGGCTGAAGCTCCGTTTCAGAACAGAGCTAGTGCTCAGAAATGTACCACTGAGCTTATCTATCGTACAGCCAATGGGTTGGTCACATCCTGCTCTCAGTGCAGCTGAGTCCAGTCAAACAACATAGCTTTAAATGAAAACAGAATTTAGCAGAATGTTTCTTTTGAGTACAGCAGATACTTTTGTCAGACTGTGGTCATCTGTGCTATTCTTTATCTATGCTGTAGATTGAATACAGAACTTCTAAGTGCTTTTTCCTGTTCAACCATTGTTTGATGTTTTCCTGTCTCTCTCTTTTTTTTTTTTTTTTTCTTCTTCTCTCTTCTTGATTTTACTGGTGGTTTGTATTTTCCTTTTTACCACTCCTTGCCCTCCTACACTCTTCTGCTTTGGTTTTAGAGGAAAATTCTTGTTTGAAAAATTGCATTGTAAGTTCCAGAAGCTTTGCAACAGAAGAAAACAGAGACTGTCTGTCTGTTTTTGTCTTAAATAAATCAATAAAATGCACAAACTAAACCCCACAACATATTTCCAGCTATAGCTCTTACAGGGTGTGTTATTCTCCTAAGAAACTTTTCTTTCATCGTAATGGAAGAGTACCACAGTTGTATGCATGGCCCTTAAATGCATTCCTTATGTTTCCTTCTGTATATCCTTTGCTATATTATAACTGGGCTGTGTCCCAAATAAGTCATCCTGAAGTCAGCAACACTGCTAGGTGACAAGAACAGCACCCAGCCTTAGGGAATCTAACACCTTGACTGAGTCTGAGAATCAGTGCTCTTTGATACAAAGACAGATACATGATAGACAGGAATAAACCTATGAACTTTCAGTTGCTGGAGAAAATGGTGTCTATATTATATTAACTGCTGTATGGGGATGGACATCAATTAAACCAAACCAAAACAAAACATTTTATTTCTGGCATTTTTCTGCCTGTGTAGATTCCTGGTGCTTCTCTAATTTCTGGCAAAGATACTGTCCATAAAACTTGTTTCAAACAGGATCAGAGCAGTAAAATACCAAAGCCAACTAGAAAAGTATACAAATCACACGCTTGCAGTAAAACTTTGCAGCTGGTCTCACAGAAATCTGCCAGTGATATTGTGGTCAGAGCCCTCTTAAGAAATGAATGCAAGGAAAACAGTTCCTGAAGACTTCAAGTGACACTTGTCTAGATTTGAGTATTTTTTGAAATGTCTGCAGCCAGGATATTCCACAAGCTTCGTACTAGCAGTTGACAGCTAAGGAGCAATAGGTACGTGAAAATGAACTCAAAGGAATTGCAAAGGAATTGTTATTATTTACAATGTAATAGGACAGTTCTCCTTTGATTGTTCCATTTCTTTTCTTCTCCAGAACGCAGCTGTGCAACATGACATTTGAAGATTTTGAGAACTACTCTTATTTCTATGACCTGCCTGAGGAAGAAGAATCACCCCAGTCCACCCTCAGCATTGCCCATATGATTTCCCTTTCCTTTTACAGTGTGGCATTTCTATTGGGAGTCCCAGGTAATGCCATTGTCATCTGGTTTATGGGCTTCAAGTGGGATAAATCGGTCTCTACACTCTGGTTCCTCAATCTGGCCATTGCAGATTTCATTTTTGTTCTCTTTTTGCCCCTTTATATCACGTACGTAGCAATGGGCTTCCACTGGCCTTTTGGGAAGTGGCTGTGTAAAATGAACTCATTCATTGCACTACTTAATATGTTTGCCAGTGTTTTCTTCCTGACATTCATCAGCCTGGACCGCTACATCCGCCTAGTCCACCCAGTTTTTTCCTACAAGTATCGGACTATAAGGAACACCCTCATTCTCAGTGGGATCATTTGGGTATCGGCTGCAGTTATTGGTGGCCCTGCCTTATACTTTAGAGACACAGCTACAGTTCTCAACAATGTCACCATTTGCTACAACAACTTCCACGTGCATGATAGAGAACTCATTATGCTGAGACATCACATTCTAATTTGGGTGAGGCTTGCATTTGGTTATCTCTTTCCTCTAGTGACCATGGTCATTTGCTACTCATTGCTGCTCGTTAAAGTGAAGAAGAGAACTGTCTTGACTTCGAGTAGGCTTTTCTGGACCATTATTGCTGTAGTTGTAGCTTTCTTTCTTTGCTGGACACCATATCACATATTCAGCATTGTGGAGCTTTCTGTTCACCATGATGAAAACTTGCACGACTTATTGCAGGATGGCATTCCCCTCTCCACTGGCCTTGCTTTCATCAATAGTTGCCTCAATCCAATCCTCTACGTTCTCATCAGCAAGAAGTTCCAGGCCCAGGTCAAGACAACAGTCTCTGAGGTGCTAAAATTGGCACTGTGGGAGGTGAGCCGCTCAGGAACTGTCAGCGAGCAGCTGTGGAGCTCAGAGAACACCCATGCACCTGTGCACTATTGCGAAACTGCTCAGTGACAGCTTGTCACCATCCGTCTCTGAAATAGCTGACAGATTTGGAGGTGTAGTTGACTTCACATCTGCCAGTCAGATGTGTGTCTTTGCAAATACAGTTTTAGATAAACAGCTGGCTTAACTGTGCTTGCTGCTTTCCTTTAAGTGTTTTTAAAGGACACATCATTTGGGCGTGGTGTGGTTGCAATGTGGACACCCTTAACTGAAAGTTGTCAGCGTAAGTGGAATTGCTTTAACTGGGTTTTTGATCAGGAACATTGTTGTAATCCTGTTGTTTTGTGGTTCTATAGCTTATTGATATTAAAATAACACACAAAAATATTCCCCTGATCCTCACTAATAGCACCTTTGATCTAGGCATCCTCCTCCAAGAGGTCATGGCCATACATTAGTGGCTTGTGAGTGTTCTGACTATCAAGTATTGTTTAAAGTAGGAACCACCTGGCTCCATCCCAGCCTAGTGAAGTTGTCAGTAGCTCCGCTCTGCAATCAGAGAAGTGTCCCAGGACAGAGAAGACTAACTTGCTGCCTTCTGTTATCAAGAGAAACATAGAAATAAAGTATTTTCTCCCATTGTTCTTTGCCTTATACTCAAAGCTATACCAGGAGGCTGCTGTTTCTGGTCCCTTATTCTTGTGCTCTTAATACTGGTTGGGTACAAAATACAGAGTAACTGTTTCATATAGGATTTTGGCTCATTTGAAATCTGCAATTAACAGAAATGGTTCCCAAAGAATTTGAGATGTCCATATCACAAATTGTTTTTCTACGTTTAAGCTTTCAGGTTTAGAGAGGTTTACAATTATTAGTTGCTCTCTACTTGTCTTGCAAAGAAAGTTTAAGAAGTTGTATTTTGAGCATTTTGAACAGTTGAACATTTTGTCTTAATGCTAATCTTCTAAAAAAAAAAAATCAGTGAATTGAATTCAGTGACGTTAAGTGAATTCAACAATATTATTTGACAAGTCTGTAATCTGTCCATTCCTGTAAGAAACAGGCAGCAGTCCCAGTTGTATTATATTCTGTTTGAACCTGTTGCCTGCTGTAGAATCACACATGCACCAATGCAAATATACATGCTGAGTGAACCAATTTCTGAGGCAATACCACTTAACTAAGGAGCTGTACATGGATAAAACTCTGCTAAAAGTAAAAGCATAAAGCTTTAGGTAAATGCAAACTAGTTTTTCCTTTGTTACTGACCTAAGTATCTAGAGTAAAACTGCCTTTCAGATAATCTACATGCCAACACTCGTAAGTAGCATTCATACTTTAAATTAGGTCTTATATGCGTATATATTTTATACAAAAGCATATATATGTGCATGGATGAGCACATCCAGAATTGGTCGCTGTACAAATAGAAACTGTCTGATTGTGGTCTGTAACTGTTTCTTTGGGCTCTGGTCTGAATTTGGAAGAATGAGGCAGGATCAGTGGAATTTCGATGTGTTTAACTTTGGGCTGGAAAGTTGGTAAGCAGCATTCTTCCCTGAGTCATTTGCTGCCTGGTACAGTGACTCAATGTTTTGATACCATGCAGCTAAATGTGCCTACATCAACTGCTTGCAGTTTTTCTTCACATATTCCGACATCTTTCTAAGAATGATGTGTTAGCACTCCTTTCCTGACTGTACTCCAAGTGGAGTAATAAAATTGTTGTTTCCAAAGAACGTGTTCATTACTTCTCTCAGCAGCAATTTGCAGTGACTGTCCACTCTTAGAACAGCACCTTCCCAACAGTTCTAGAAAATGAAATCAAACCCTGACCTTTTCTACTGAAGGAATTAAAGTTTATTTCAGATTTCTTCTTGCATGTCAGCCACATGAGCACAGATACCAAGATATACAGAGAAAAGCTTGATTTTCAAATGGGAATACAGTCAGAAAATGTTTCGCAATGCTGTGCTAGGACCAGCTCCTTGGATAAAAACTACAGTGACAAGATTAACCACCACTGTGAGCAAAAGCCTCCCCTAGAGTAGGCAGATACAGAACAGAATTGAATAAAGCCAAGGTCACCCCCATCTATAGGAAATAAATGGATTAACATCTTTGCAGTGTAAATACTACCTCATTCACACCAAGATCAGTTACAGAATTTTATCTCCAAAATAATTTCTGCAAGAGTAATGGAAGATACCTAAACAAAACAGATAGCTGTCTAGGTTTCTGCTTACGAAGAAAAAACAAAAATACCAATCATTCTCCTGTGGTGCTTGTCTGAGGAATGCTCATTCAAAACTCTGCAATGGGGAAAAAAAGTCAAAGGAAGGAGAACTATCCAATCATGCTGCAAGATACTGCAGGGAAAAAAATTAGTAATAGATCCATAACCAGTCAAGTCATTCAGGAATAATGCATTCTATTTTGTAACTGGGGAGACCATGTTCTCAAGCTTTTCGTTGTTCCTATGCAGCAAGTTTCCTTCTGCTTTCAGAAAAAAAGGAATAAATCACAAACAAATGCCCACCAACTGGAGTTTGCACATGCACACTAAGCACGCATGCAGGATTCCAGTGTAGGTCAGATGGACAGCTTGCAACACTGTTTTAGCAAAAATAGTCTATAAATCAAACCACAATCCACCTGCAGTAGCTATTGCATGTAACTACCGTACCCCCTTAATCCTCCCTCAAGCACATCGTGGGGTTGGACAGCCAGAGCTTTCGAGAGCCCTTCTGGAAGGGACGCGCTGCCCCCTAGTCGCCAGTAAGTTAATAGCACCTTCCGCGGATCACAGCCCTGCTCCTCAGGCTCACCAAGTGCTTGTCTGCAATGTGCGAGGTGCAGATGCACCAGGTCCTTGGAATATGAAAACAGGAAGTTATCACCATTTTATCAACACTATTATTTTCTGTACTAATTAAGAAGCCCTGAAAACGATGCTAAAATTAAAATAATTGTTTTTTTTTTTTTTAAATACTTAGAGGAAAGAAGTCTGAAGTCACACAACAGATGGTGGAAAGTCACTGTGGCGGTCTCAGTTCAGATAAACAATCTATTTTCAATTTCACATCACCATCAGTGCATTGAAGTCTTCCATTTCCTTCAACTTGTCTCCATTCCCTTAGTGAAAGCTAAATTTTAGCTTTTTAGAAAAAAGACCCACCATACAATTATTTGCTTATTCACCAACATTTTGAAACAAAATTTATACTCCTGTTTAAAATGCTAAATAAAAGTTAAGTCTAGATTAATGGTGAACATAGGCTTCTTATTTCCTCTACTTTTGGTTTAGGGTACTATGGTGCTAGAGCAATCTTGAAATTCAATTTTACCTTCTACTTTACCCGTCAACAAAGTTTTACATTAATTATCTGGATTACTAAAAGAAGGTAGATTTAGGTATTACAAAGAAATTCTTTACTATGAAGAGTGGTGAGACACTGGAACAGTTTGCCCAGAGAAGCTGTGGATGCCCCATCCCTGGAAGTGTTCAAGGCCTTGGGCAGCCTGCTCCAGTGGAAGGTGTCCCTGCCCATGGCAGTAGGTTGGAATTTAGATCATCTCTAAGGTCCCTCCCAACCCAAAGCATTCTATAGTTCTATGATTTTGAATTAACCACAGACACAGCCCAGTTTTTGCAATTACATTTATTCTAGATATATCAGATTTAAATTTTATTGAAAGCAGCTACATCCATTGATTGTACATAATCTTCAAAAGCTGTTATTCTTTCTTCCAGCATATCTGTTCCAACCTTATCATCTTCAACAACACATTGAATCTGAAGCTTTTTGATACCGTAGCCAACTGGTACAAGCTTGGCTGAAAAAAACAAAACAAAACAACAACCATTTAATACTCTTTGATTGGTTGAACTTCAATTGCAAATCAAAGATTTAACTGGCTAATAGCACTCATCACAAGCTGCTTCAAAAGGTGTGATTAGTAGTTGAATCTTAACCTGGCTGCTGCGCTACTACACCTTTTTGACTACCCCATTTGTATTATCACTGAAGTGAGATTCTGCAGAGAAACATCAGTTTGCTATTTGGAGGGCACTAGTTCAAACACCACATGTACACAGTTCCTGCTACATGTACTGTAGTATGTAAATTCGTTCACTGTTATAACCGCCTGCATTTTCACAGATAGGCAGTGACCACAGTGCTACCTATTCATACAGTATCATAACAAACCACACTAGATCCCTCTCCCTGCGCTGATTTTTGTCCTACTTACAAGATCCCCAGACCAAGCCATCTGCTTGAATGCTTCGAACACACTCCTCTAGTTTGGCCATGTCTGTCTCATCATCCCAGGGCTTCACATCAAGCAAGATTGATGATTTGGCAACAACGGCTGGCTCTGGAGGAAAAGGAGAAGAGAACCACCATCAACAGCTATGAAATTTCCAAAAATTCATGAATATACTTACAAAACTAGCTTTAAAAGACTAACTTTTCCTGTTTCATCAGGCAGGCCCCTCCTGCACCAACATACTTGTGAGGAGAACTTAAGACATGCATATCCCAATGTTTAAGATATACGTGTATATTTTAAAGAAATACTCAAAAGAAAATAAACATTAGCAAGCTAACACTGTTTGTTACATAGGAAGTCCTTCTCAGAGAGTCTGAGAAGGAGCTTAATGCTAGGTAACAGTTTATTTTCCACAGAGGGAATACTGCAACTGCTACAGTACCTAACAGTTTCAGACCAGTAACTGTGGAGGACTTGCATCTTACAGCCTTTCCTTTAAAAACTCAGCTTTCTTACAGTAACCTGCAGAGACTCCCATGCAGACATATTTTACATCAGTTTTACATCTGTTGTAATCAGATAAAATCCTGGGGTTCTCTTTATATAGAGAAAGCTCAGTCCTTGTAAGACAAACAGAAGTATAACAGGCAGGACAAAAAATATGCTAAGGTTTAGTGATTTGCTATGGGAAAGGCAAAGTTGACAGACAACTCAAGTAAAGACAATTACTTGCGTCTCGCTACAGTCAAGTTTATCTATTACAACTATGTTTTTAGCCATCCTGTTCAAATGCATAAAAACTAACCCCAGCATAAAGAGTTAAAAAGCACTTCACAGACATACTTTTGGATTTCTTAGATTCATACTGGGCCAGACGTTCTTCCCTCAGTTTCTTTGCTTCTTCACTTTCCTGAAAAAGAGAAATACAAAGTCATAGAAAAGCACCAAAACCCCGATCTTTAAATTGCTATTAGATTGATTGACTGGCATCTACTCAGGAAAAAAAAACAAATCATCACAACTGTCAGCCGAAAGATGGTGATTTTGTTTTATTCATCATGGAACCAGTCAAACATTTCATCCCATCACAACACATTCCCTTCTAACCCAGAATTTTTATCTTTCAAAATTCTATATTATGCGAAGATAGAAGAATTTGAGGATCCTGAGCAGGATCCGTTATTGAGGTCACAAATTACAGTGACCAAAACTAGTAAGACAAGAATTTGCAAATCCAGGAAATTATTAAAAAAAAAAAATCACAAGTCACTAGTACCTCTTCATCATCAGATCCAAAAAGATCAATGTCATCATCATCTTTGCTGTCTGTGGCTGCACCTGTTGTGTCCTCAACATCAGCAGGACCGTATTTCCCCAAAGCCTTCTTTACTCCTGGCAAACTGAAGGAAAACAGCAGGTGTTAAGAAGCTTCTCACATGTCAGTTCAAATACTGCCAATTTATCAGTGAACCTACAAGCACATTCATAGCAAAAAAAACATGGTAAGAACTAAAAACACATTAATCCTGCTACTTGAAAACAGAAATCCCCCAAAATGATTGCCAATACTCCTGAAAATACACTAGTTGAAACTACAGCAAATCCTATAGTCAAAACATTGCCTGTCTAAGCAGTGATGGATCCTGCACAATTCTGCTGCCCTGTGTGAGTGTAGGGATAGAAAAACCTTTTATAATGGAATAATATATTTAGTATGTATCCTGTGTAGAATGTTGTGAACTTATAAAAATATTTTTATTTAAAAATTAACAGTAACAGTAAACACGTTGACAGTATGTGTGGGGCCAAAATCCCATGAATTAATGTCCTAGAGCTCGTATTGTTGTAGTCTCACTCTAAGCCTGTAGTCTATTGTTACTGTGAACTGCTGTTACAATTTTTGTAAAATCAGCTTTAGCTTTCAGTAACTTTTAGTGTTTTCCATAGAATTGATTTTTTCAAGCAAGTTTATAATCTCAGTCCCATTTAGAGTTAAGAGAGCTTCAAAAATCTACTGGTGATCAAGCTACCCAACTTTACAAGTACTCCCTCAACAACAGGACTGAGGCACGTAAAGGAGGCAATGTAACAACTGACACTACCTATGCTGTACCTTTTTAGAGAGGCCTGCAGTCTCCATGGATGTCAATACAGCACCTTTCATGAACACTAAAATCTCTAAAAAAGAGAAAAGATAACATTTGCTTTTATGGCTTCCCTTCTTCATATGGGCTTTTGCATTTCAAATCTTTGATTTAGCTTAATTTTCTGGGATTAAAAAACGCTTTGTCATCTGCTACTTGTATGTTTGTCTTCAGACCCATGGAAGATTACTGGTAAGAAATTTCAGCTTTCAGCAGTTATCTGTGTCACAGGCAGCAACGCAACTCGAGCCTTTCTTAAAACTTCAAGTCTCAGAAACTGAAAGTGTCAGCAAACGTTCAAAGGCAGATTCAGCTTC